GAAGTGATATGAGCCCGGAGCTGCAACAGTACTTCCCTTTACAGACAGAGCACCGCACGCGGGGGCACTCTCTCACGTTGCGGAACCGTCAGTCAGTTGGTCTTCCGTTAGTCTACCGACTCTCGCGTAGGTCAACAACACTCTGGAATTCCCTTCCAGCGATTGTGGTGGAAGGGAAGACAGACGCTGCTTTCAAACGGCGTCTGGATGAGCACCTGAAGGGGCTATGGAGGAACAAACACTTGTGATCGGACCTTCGACCACTGCAGTGGTGATGGGGATTACACGGGCACCCTGCCCTCAGTCCTGTAGACTGTAGACATAACCATGTTGTAAAGTGTCATTCGTCGACCGTACAGCTCAAGAGAACAAGTTGGAACACCCAGATTGATGTTTTATTTTTCGAGTCTTGACATGGGCCAAAATAATACATACTGCTGATGGTTAGGAGCAAGGACGCAGCAACTGTCTCGTGCCATTTGGCACTCATCACACTAGATTATTGAGCAGTTTTCTCCTCTGCACGACAGAATCCTCTTTCCCTCTAAGCGTCCACTTATTTCCTTTTCCCAAGTTCGGCCCCTCTCAGAAAACTGCACCTGTGTGTAAATCATGGTTTTTTTGTCTCCCCGGTCCGTCAGTCGAATCCCATGTTAGATAGATCGCTTCATCCACAGCCTACCTCTAACGTACAACTGCACTCTAAGCCGTTATATCTCTCATTTTCGTTTACTCATTCTCATCACTTCAACGTGTGCCCATCCGGTGAAAGAGAAACTCGCCAACTACCCTTTCGTTTCATTTGTTGTGTCACATACTAGCAAACGATAAGATAAGCACAAGCGCAACCTCGACGGAGAATGTATAATGTAACTAGTACCACGTGGCACAAAACATATTAAATGATGGTAATGTTGGGAAGAGAACAGATTGGAAGGCGTGCGCGTTGTCTCCCGAATGCGGAGTAGACTCTACACTGCATTGCGAGTACCTCGGTAGCCACGATAATCATCCACTCCCATTTCAAGATCACATTACGGTACGGCACGCCTATTAGCTTCTATAGTCTTCTCCCAGATACAAAAGCGAGAACATAGACGCTGGACAACAGAACGTGTACTTGACACTAGAAGCAAGTCGAATGTACAGGTTCAATTCATCTGTGTATATGTACTGTTGGTCTAAAACAATGAGGATCCATGTTCACTGAAAAGAAACGAAAAATATACAGAATTGGCCATTCAGTCACCAAGAGGAGGGCGAGAAAACTTGAACATGGTTAAAAAACTAATATTCTTACTTCATACCATTCTGGATCCTACTCATCATTGGGCCACCAAATAGATGAAATTTTCTGTCGCTCTCATTCCTTTCTCTCCCCATGCTCCTTATAATTTCTGTCTCTTTGTAGCCGAATCAATAAATTGGTTTTGTGTTAAATGTCTCTACCATATACATCACCCTATTACATTATGTATTCGAACTATGAGGCGTCCGTTTAATTTCACTCATGTTTGTCGACGGGAAAAATAATCACGTTCATTCTTTCAATCTATCCCCATTTTTTACAGTGAAGTCCAAATGTTGCCCCCTCATTTACTTCGCTCGAAAGAGATCCGATTTGCTGTGGCTGTGCACGAGGCTGTTAATACGAACAATTACATCCGGTTTTTCCGCCTGGCTCGATTAGCAACATGTTTAAATGCATGTCTGATGCATCGTTACTTTGTTCAGATCCGAAGTCAAGCCCTACTTCGTCTGGCCGCTTCGTTCGCGGGACACCCGAAACGGGAGGTTCAGGTACGGCAAACATTGTCCACCTGTCATCACTTTTCATGGTTGGTAAAATCTTTTTGAGTCGGGCGACTGCACTGCCTTAATTTATCTGAAAACAATTCAAATATATCGTGTACTCGTCATGCACCTAGAATCAAGGCTAATTTTGTGTGCTTAGAAATTTATAGGTAAATTCCCTATGGAGAAAGATACTTATCGGAATTTGTTCTTCTTCCCATGGATCATGATACACTCGTGCTTTTCTCGGGTGAAAATATCCACCCATACAACCTTGATAGAAGGGAGGAAAGGCAAAGAATTTTGTCATTTTTCATACGTAGGTGGATATGTGACGGATCATACGCCCTTTGGACGGGATCAAATTTCCGGGATGCCCAGTATACCCCGACGTGAAATCCAACCGGTGACTTTCCACCGCCAAGAAAGTGTGTATGTGATTCGTACGCCGTTTTGGATTTGAAATCAGAATTCTTCCCCAGCCAACTTGAGTGAACTGCCAACCGCCCACTTTGTGTTAGCCCCGGATGGTAGAGACGCCGCCACCACATGAAAACAGTGACGAACACTTCCTCGTCAAAAGCTCTTCAATATGCATAATCTTATAGGAACATTTCGCAAGATACAAAGAAATGGGGACCAGTCACAACCTAAGACATCCTCCACCATACTGAGGCTTTCTAAATGGACGTCGAGGTTTGTGCATGGGAGTGCTTAAAGTAAGAGTGCTCGACAAGTCTCGGAGGGAAGTCGTCTTAGTTGTTCCCGAAAATGCTTTTCACGCTTGCAAATAGCTATGTTCATTTGGTTTTGTCATTAAAACTCGCTTCATTATTCAATTTTCACTTGCGACACTTCTTTCTGAGTATGTGCTATTCATGGCCTATGAATCTCACCTCTGCTTTCACCATCTTATAGTATCCTGTGGAAACACTTAAACGTCAACTGGAATTCGAGGATCGAAGAGAAGCGCATGAATTTTGCGAAAGTTGGGGTCTTTCTGTGATCGACGATTTTGTGATATTTGACAAGCAAATGCCACCCCAACCACCCGAACTTGCTTGGCGTGAACGGAGAGCATTTCGGGTGAGTTCTCCACCTTTCCTACTCGTTTGCAAACCAATGGATTGCTTTTAAATTTCAGTCTTGATTAGTCCTTTCACGGTGTGTATTCTTTCTTTTCCTCTTACGTATAGTTAATAGAAAGCAAGCGTGCGGGTACCGCACTATCCGCCCTGTTCAACAATGAGCCAATAAATCCGAAAGATGCACAACCTCTACCGGTGCACTCCTCTTTCGACGCCAATGGACGGTTCATCGCACAGGCGAATGAATCTCTGGACTGGAAATCAGAACCCATCGCTCCATCTGAAAATGCTTCGAATGCATCACAGATCTTCGGCGCTTATCACCAAGAGCAGCCGAAATTCGACTCCTTCCCGACCAGACTGTCGCAACCCGCGCCTCATTTCTCTTTCTCACCAGCAGGATCGACTGCAGTTCCTCAATCCAATCCCGTTGTCCACTTGAGTGAGCGGGAGAAAGCACTACAGATGTTGAGCATTCAAAGTGCAGCCTCAAGTTTTGTGACTGAGTGGATTTTTGAGGCGCTAGAATTGGAACCTGTGGCTCGCGAATCTTTAGCCGCTGAGTACGTGGCCCGTCAAATCCAGTCCGAAATAATTGATCAAACTCTGCGGTCCGCTTTACGAGAGGTATTGTCATTGTTATTTTCGTTCTCTTCTATCCTTAAAACACTCGTGGTATCTTCCATTTTTCGATAACGTCCCACATATTTGCCAGAAAGCGCTCGAGTATCTGGTAGTTCATTTTCCTGTTCTACTCGTCAGCCCTTCACCATGTTTGAAATCTGATTAGCATTGATCAAATTAAATTGCTATTTGGGTTGCGTAGGTCTGGATTGGTTTGTTCTATCCTGTGTGGAAAATCGGCTGTCAGGGAAAATTTATGTATTTATACAGCCGATACGACTAAACAACCGCTTACGTTCACTAGTGAATACTGTTGAGGGAGCTCTAGGGAATTGTTTGCCAGTAAGTCAGCTTGTAGTTACCGTCAACAAAAAGTGACCGTTTAGCTATGGCATCTAGTGAGTTACGTTATACTGATGAGTTTGAGCTTAACAAACAAGTGATGGCCTTCAAGGAGTCACTATACTGCCGGTCACAATCGCTTGTACGAATACCAAAACTTGTCTGGTTATCGCTAGCATTGAACTAGTCGTGATTACTATCTCGCACAAAGACAAATATAAATGGATAAAATGCCTTAACACATATTACGGAAATATAGAAGCGTACGCGGCAATGACCTTGACCTTTTGAGTTTTACAGCTCTACAAACTGGATGGTTTTGTGGTCTCTGTCAGAGAGGGTAAACCATTTTGGTAACGATTTACTTTCCAGCTCAAACCAAAGGTGTTAGTCATCATCATCATCAAAATGCAATCTTACTTATTTGACTCAGTTCAATGGATAGTATTCCTTTATTTCGGTTACTTTATAAGCTGGTCAACTTTAATCGTCTTCCCGTCACTCCTCTTCTAGATCAATGTTGCTGACCGAGGTAACATGTGCTGCTTGTTTTTCAACCAATGAATTCCGTAATATGAGAAATTCGTCGAGTAGATGGAACATAAATCGAAAAGCTAGGAAGCACTGAACAGTTGTTTCGACCTGGATGGGTCTCATCAGCTGTGCGAATCTATGGCACCCAGGACCTCACATGTAGAATGCAAGCATGCTACACGTACTGTAATGGTCATCTTTTCCTGAATTGGTTTCACTTGTATGCATCCAATGAAGCGAGCCGTATGTAGGTAAACAATTACCCATTGGTTGGAAGCTGATCAGTTTGGGCAGGGATTTAATGATGTAATTAAGTGCGAATAGTTTTCCCACCGTTGTAAGAAGCTCTGGCTGCCCCTCTCCCCCACTCTCAAGTCAATCCAGCAGCAATCTTACCTGTGAGCATTAACATATATTTAGAATGAGAAAATTAAACGTGTGGTGTAAGAAAGTGACTCCTAGAACTTCATTGTTTACTACCGCCTCTGCCGTAAATCGAACCAAACTAATCCTACCGGTCACGCTAACGCTGTTCTGCTTGTCTCACTTCTCCCTTCACCATCACATTCACCTGTCATTACTCATTTAGGTCGCGAAGTCCACTGTAGACGCTGTCCAAACTTCTCGTGTCCGACAGTTAAGCGATGAACTTTTTGAATCTATTCTCAACGAGACTTTTGAGCAAGAAATCGTTCAGATTGCCACAACTTTTCTGGCCTATGAAACTGTCTTGGTAAGTTCATTTTCTATCCTACTTTTTTCTCTATCATGATCTTACTTAAGTTCTCCCTTCCTCACGGAAGTCTATCGTAGATTTGCGCAAAATCATCCAGAAACCTTTATTAGAAAACAGTCGATCTCTGTTATTTCTAATAGTGGTAATTTAAATTGGATCCTCAAGTCCATGATTTTATCGTCTAGGTTTTTCTGTTTTGAAACAGTGGGTTGGATTAAAACTACAGCCTATACCACCTCATGTGAACACTGTACTGTTTTGGATAAATCTCCATACCAAATTCTCTAGAGGGCTCCGTTATTACTCAGTACTTTCCTATCGATTTTGATTCATCAATGCCCGTGGTTTACAGAGAGAGAGAACCGATGAATATTCCCCTATCGGTATGGTTGGCCTATACTGCTTACCCGCTATGTGTTGTACGGATGAGAGTTAAGCACTGTGTTCGAAGTGTTCCACTGTCCACCTGATCAGTTCGAGCGGCTATGTTTCATTCTTCAATTATCTTTTAGACACTAATATGTTAGCTTACTGCACTATAAAAAATAGTGTTCGAATTGGTATATTTGGTTTTATTCACTTTGATTGAACACTAACTTTTGGATTCCTTTGGATGTCATACAAACCTGATTAGAGTTTCAAAATGTAGCAGTCTGGCCGAATACCTCCACCATTCTAACTCTTTCGCATCTCCTTTTACCCTTCTCTCTCCAGAATGAAATCATCTGCTTAGACCTTCTACCCAGCCTAATCCATTCGGTAGCCAGATCATGTCTACTGATTGCAGAAGCTGATGCGTACTCTGAAAGGACGCTGTTGCGACACTGTTTTGAGCGAATGCGTGCTTGGATGTACCATAAAGCCCAAGAAGACCACGACCGTGCTTTGCTCCGATCCATGCCAGCCTGTCCGTCCACCACGTGGGATGCTCTCCGTCTTACTGGTCTGCAAACTGCGAGCACCAGAATATGCGCGTTACGTCGTGCGCGGTCAGGTCACGAAACTGGAACTGCGCAGAACTCAGCCTACCCCGGGCGATTTTCCGTTTGGGCTGACGCAGTACGTTTCGTCTGTTCATTTTTAATTCCTTTCTTGTGGTGCTTCATAGTTATCTCATCGTTTCGGTTTAACCATTCTGCTTCTGGTTATTCCTTTTGACAGCTGCCTGCACAAACTCAATCACGCAAAATGCCGTAGTC